TGTGCTTAGTACGAGTTTTTTAACGTTCTCGATAGCGTAAAAGTTAACTCCAATTTGTATGCAGTTGTAAGAGGGCCCCTGGCGGCAAACGTAGCAGACGTTCCCACTCCATACAAATTTGAGTTAACGTTTACGCTATCGAGAACGTTAAAAAACTCGTACTAAGCACACATGATTCGAGTTCCACACGTGCATGCGTGTGTGGGTTAACGGATGTGGTCCGTCCGCGTTTGCCGGGCGTCCGCGAACAACGCGAGTGTCAATGTACTATTGTAAAAAAAAAAAAAACTAGATTCTCAGACTAGACACAGTTCTGAACATTTCATGTTGAGTGCTTTTTAATGGCAAGAGCAATACGGTGAACGTTTTATTTAATTTATAAAATATATAAATATCGTATAATTTTAATGCTATTAAATTAAATTATAATTAATATAAACCTTAGATTCATCGAAATGGTATTTAAGAGAAATCTAAAGTAAAACAAATCCAAAAAGCCTGCCGACATTAAAACTATATATACCGCACAATAAAGTTTTACGGTTCGAATGGAAAACTTCTCACGGAGCGAGCAATCTCGGAACCAAAGACAAGTTTTATATAGCGAACACGGGAGACTTCTTGAAACGTGCGAAGCGACAATTATACTGTCGTTACGGAAAGGACATGAGTAATTTTTGTAATCGTTCTGAATTTTTTTTCAAGTCAAACTAAAATCTGACAGGAAACAACAATGGGAATAAAAACCAAAGTTTATTTTTATACTAAAATACATATCTATGCTCGAAACCTGCCACATATTCATTTTATGGCCATAAATAGGTAGCAAAAAGTTACGATATAATAGTTAGGTACGTATACCTGATCACAAATCACAAATTATTAACACTTTTTTGTCCCTCTCTTCGTTTGGTCGAGTACCTACTTACCAGGCAAAAAAGATCACAGAGTTTGTTGAAACTGTGTTTTTATGCACTTGTGACTAGACTACCTAGTGTACATAATATTCAAGTTTATTTAGTTACTATTGAAGAAACCGGAGTTATAAAATGACAACATATTTTTTATGATTATTATATTATAGAATCAAATGCGGTCAGCCAATAAGAAATATCCAATTTGCGAGCATGTAATCTCGGGTAGATCTGTTTAAATATATAAAATTTAATAACGGTGTCTTCGCAATAACACTGTTCAAAGCCGGTTAAATGGCTTTTTTTTTTAAAACCAAAGCAAGTTTTATTTTTGTCTGTCTATTATTTGTCCTGAAAAATTCTTAATCATTTTATGTTTTACTTTTTATTTAATTTTACAAAATATTTACAATAAAGATTTTCAAAAATTTACGAGAAGTTTTTCCCGTTTTTATGTTGTTATATCATTGGTGATAAACGTAAGAGCCGTTGTTACTTCAGTGACGCGTTGAGAAATTTTGTGTATTTTTAACTCACAATCGGTTGACAAGTAAAACATATTATGCATCAATTTTAAATTACCTGTGAATCCACAATTCCTCGCTCGTTTTAAAGTAAATCGTGAGAACAATATGCAATGAAGTTGTTCACATATTTCGAATAAGGTCAACGCGCAATTTACATAATTATGTGTTTAGTGTGGAGTTTTTAATGGTTTCTCATGTACACAGATTATCGAACTTTTACGTGTGTACGTTTTTAATAATCGTTTCTCTGAGCATGTTGATACATCATTCATGCAGTTGACACCAAACCACATTCTTAAATATTCGATTGTAACGAAGTCACTTAATTGAAAGTAATTTTGAAAGTTGATAGTAGCGTAGCGTTTTTATACGTAGACTTCAAAATATCTATATTTTTTAAATTAATACGTGAAGCATAAACTTTGTATCCCTTTTTACGAAAATTGCGCAAATTGCGAATTTTCCACACTTATAGAGAATATAGAGAAGAAGTGCACAATATTATAATTTTTTTAAATAATGCATAAAAGATACATTAAATCAATAAAGAAAACATTACACACACTACATACCATGTATTTGACGCACACACGCATGCATACTATTTATTGTCAAACTTTTGTTCTTGAAGTCTGTTGTCAAATTGAGAATAGATAAAATATTGTTTGACTTTGTTAGTATTTTTTATAGTGTAGTCTTGGCGAAATTTGTGATTATAGAAGTATGAAATACAATAATAATAGTCTACAAACTTACAATTCCAATTAATTATAGTCGAATTTCGACTACTGCGGGACCTCTAGTATTTTTTAAACTTCAAGCCTATGTATGACTCTGTGGCATCTTCAAACATAAACCGATTCAAACTATTCAAAGCTTTTTTGATGGCGCCTGTTATTGGTATTGTATTAAATAAATCCTATCCACTCTTTCCAGTTTGCCTTTTTCCTAATTACGCGCTAGTAATCCAAAATAGATAATTGATATTTTATGTGACGTCTTCATTTACTGATTTGAAATTTAACTTTCAACTAAAAATATTTAATCGACTTTTCTTGACAAAATTTTTTTACTAAAAAAATTTCTACTGATGACTTCAAGGCCAACTTCACGGTATAATCATACATACGTGAAGATAAGACGCAAGTGCCGACACTCGCATACATGTAACTATTGTTAGGTGCCATTATACGTTTATCATCCAATTGACGGACGGGTAGAAATAGCCACTTAAACTTTGCAATGTAAAAAATTGGGTTGGAAAATGATGCTCGGTTGCTAAAAGAAAAAATGACTATTTTATGGAACAAATCTGAAGTAGAATAATTCCTATGATTATGAAACTCAATCATGAACCATAGAAATATATATTTTAACTACATACTACACTTAAATTTTTAGTGCTTAAAGTTGATGGAAGTTTTTTTCTTTTTATTGCCCTTGTAGGCAGACGAGCATACGGCCCACCTGATGGTGATTGGTTACCGTCGCCCTTGGACTTCAGCAATGCCAGGAGCAGAGCTAAGCCGCTGCCTACTGTTGAGTACTCTCCGCAAGCCTCGTTTGAAGAAGGACAAGTCATAGCGCTCAGAAAACACCGTGGAGGGAAGCTTATTCCAAAGTGAGACTAAAAGGGGTCTTGCAGCCCCAAGTTATTACTAACTTCTGCGGGAACTGTCTGCAAACTCTCTAATCGCTCACCTCATTTCGTTCTAATACCTATACTAAGCACAGAGGACCACCATGGTCATTACTTTGTCATATCTATTAGCCACAATAATTAGAGTTCTACTGAGATTTACATTTTATGTTTCAAGATGAAAAACTGCACAGTTGTAGTTTTTAGGTTCCGATAACCACTTGACTAGGAGGAACATGATGCCAGTCCATTGCCCTTAAAAGGGTTTCTACTTTTTACTTTGATAAAAGATTTCAACATAACTCCTAAAGTATGAGCAGTTTCTTTTTATTTAAATCAGTATTTTGTATGACTTCTACGGGTAAGTACATGTAATTAAATTTATTTCAGTCATAGAATACTATTCGTGATCTGCCCAGCAAACAAACAGAAAAATCTCACCACCAACATAAACTTCACCACTACACTGTCATTTCTCATAAGTAGATGATAAGCAAATACATTAAAGGTTTGCCCATTGTCCAGAGGATTTTAAACAATCCGACTTTTTAATGAAAATATGTTGCTCTATGTTGTTAATTTAATAATTATATGTAATTAGTATAACTAATATGTACATAAGTGACAGTTTTGCCCTAGTATATACATACCAATCATGATATTGTCAAGGCCCATATTTGCTCTTTTACAATCTATATTGACACAATCCACTAAAGTATGGAACATACAATATATTAGAGACAGTAAAATTAGGTCGGCTCATGTTTATCTTTGAAGGACCCTGCTTATTTAATGGGTATCAAGACTATAATATAACAATTAACTTCATTTATTTATTTAAATGGGTGGTCATTCAGTTAGATAAACCAACACAAAACAAATTACCACATTACTGTTCGACTTGAAGAAGTTTAATTTTCTCTTGATTATTTTTGCGATTAAGAAGACCTAGAAGTCTGGGTAAATATATCCAGAAATATAAATCAATTAAATTATTCATTCCTTAAACTGTATTTACTTAATCATATGAAACATTTAAAAAAAGATTTCTGTTTTAAGTTTTATTTCTAAAGGCTATGAAAAGTTCACATAATATTAAAACACAATGTATATTTAGGGATAGTTAAGGTCCAAATAGTTAAGATCCAAATCCAAACTTTCATCGATTTGCAATAGCAAAGTTAAATGAGTGACTAATCATTCCGAAGAACATTTTAGTGTTTTAGAAAATAAAAGTTGTAGAAGTAGTATCTTTCATCAGTATCAATATCTTGAGTGCTGTTATTCTAAATAATTTTCAAATTTGTTGTAAGAGAAATTCATAATTTCTTTTTAGTTAAAATAACTTTATATTGCTTTCCGCCAGTTTAGTTGTGTACTTGATTTAATATTAGTGATTTAAGTATTTTAGTTGTGTTACCTCAAAAATATTTTTATAATAGCAAAATTTGCAAATAGACACTGGGTTCATGTTTAAAAGTTTTGTTATTTTGTAGCATCGTAAACAATATTTCGGCCAATCTCACCTCGTGACATTTAATTGTACAAATTCCAGAGTTATCAGCTCACACACATCACAACCTCACAATTGTCACAAGTTTATTGAAACCGAACTAAATGCTTGATTCTCATTTTAACGACTTTTAGTGTTAATTAATACGAGTCTAAATTCTAGGTAGAGTTTTCTAGAATAGCCGAATCACGATCAACACGTTCTCGTGCGAGCAAGAGATGACGCGTCGGCGTCGCCGCGGGAATGTCGTCGGTCCTCATCGCCACGGCGAGGCAATCACCGCGCACCGATACTATCCGCCTCGACGCTACTTTCAACTTAGCAATTTCGTCAAAGTCAACATAAATAACACTTCGAGTTTATACCTCGCATCACCAAAATTTAAGTCGTTTAGAAAATGAACTTACCGTAAATAAGCGAAATCCAACAACAAAGACCAGCCACGCGCTCCTATTACAGGACACTCACAAATCACGAATGCACAAGGTATATGAGTAAACTAAAATCACAAAATCGTCAATTTTATGAACAGCCGGCTTGCTGAGTCAGTTAGAAGAAAGTTCTTCAGTTTATCGTAGGTAAATTCACTAAACGAAGAAACTAAGCCGCGAAGCACCGCCAGCTACATACAAAATGGCGGATTTGCGTAACGAAAGTGACGCGCTGACGCGCCGATGCTGACAAATAATGGTAGAGTCAGTTAATTTTTGTCTATGACAAGTAATTTGACGGCTTTGTTGTAGTCGATTTTGCTTAAAATCGATTTCGTCGCCTTCAGTAAAATTTAACCTTTAAATCTACACAGACACAAAAATATATTTGATTTTTTTACAGAAATAACTATTACAAATAACCCATCGTTAAAATTCAATATAAATATAAAAGTATAAACATATTTGATATTTTTAACAATCAATCAATTCAATTTTGGACACAAACAACGTCGCTTGAATTCGTCGCTTGGTTTAAACCGTAACCACTCACCATCAGGTGGGCCATATGCTCGTCTACCTACAACGGCAACAAAAAAAAAGAAAAAAGTTAGGATTGGACGAATGATTCATTAAGTTTCCACTAACCTGCGGGAGAAGTTCAAAACGTACAAGTCAAATACCTTTAGCTGTGCGTTGGAATCTGGCCTTCCGGCTTCTACCTTCCTTCTTACTTCTTGCATCCTCACCGCTGAGGGTCATGACTTTTGTGGAGTAGTTTCTGATGGGTTACTTTTTAGCACGCTGCAATATGTCTCCGGTGGAAGAGTGGATAAACATCGGACTAGTTTTATTTCAAATAATTGTAAGTAGTAATAACACGTAGTAACAAATAGTAATATTAACATATTGGGTACACAATCCAACATTTTGTTATTATCTTAACATTAAAATAGAAGAATAATTAACACGGACGGAATATATTATTATTATGAAGTTACCTTATACAAATAGTTTTTTTCAGCATTAGTATGTTAATTTCTGGATCTTGTTCCATATTATTAAAATATCTGTGACAAACATGTATAAATCATAGATAGCCAAAGTTATGATGGGATCATGGAGTTAATAAGTATAGTAACTCTATGGATGGGATATACTCGAGTACTGAAATCCAGCCTATTATTTCATTTCATCTCATGTCATTACATTTTATTTGATTTCATTCAATTTCCTTTTGGTATTGCCGATAGTTCAACTTTTTCATTCCGCTCCTTTTCATTTTTCGAATTAAAAATGTAGGCATGTGAATCATAAAAATTAAAGAACTAAACTCGATACTAGCAGCAATGACATCGTAAAAAACCGACTGCCATACTGAAAAAAATAAGAATATATTTGTCTTTGGTTTGCGTTCTGAAATAAAGAAGACTTGAGAAATTTTCTTCATTAAAAGCTGTTTCTGGGGAAGAAATTACAATTATTGGGCAAATTATACATATATTAAGATAAAGAGATACTGGAGGAGATTGCGAAAACAGTTGTTTTAATCTTTAAATGGAAGAGTTTTAGAGGAAAGAAAACAACTGTTGAACTCAGCAGGCAACTATTTTTGAACTTGAAAATCAATCCTTCATCTCTGTGAAATCGCTTGCAAATGACAGAGACAAAATACAAATTTAGCTTGCTCAACTCGCTGGCTGATGAACCACAGGAACATTTGTTTGTCAAAAGAAAAAGATACCCACAACGCAAGGAGTTGATTAAAGGCTCGAATTCAATGAATTAGAGTTAGTATTATTTATTGGAATTTTACGCTTAATGAACTATCATGAAATCAGATTTCAAGTGAAATTATTTGTTTTTGAAAAGTTTCCATTACATTGCGGAATTAATTATATTGCAAGTATTCATTACGTCGTGGTTTTGCGTCCATTTACAAATATTAAGTCAGCTGAGTTTTGTTTTTATTTATATAGGTCATAATTTTGCAATCATCAGCCCGCTCAGACGAATATCGTTTTCAAAATGAACGAGATCAAATCTATGGAGCATGCGACATTGAAGGTAAGTTTAAAATTGTTTCTAAAAATGACATCAGCCCTTTTTCTACATGATGGATCGAAACAGATCGATTTAAAAGCCTCCAATATTCGAGTATCAAAAATATGGCAAAAAACTATTCTTAAATTACGAAACTCCAATAATTTTTTATATATTACAAATTAAGTTTATCACAAAAAGGACTTGATATTGCAATATCAAGCATAATTAAGCATTGTATTGATGGTAGGGCATATTGTAAGCTCGCAAGTATAGGTAGCACATATAATTTCTAAAAAAAATAAACCATCAAAACTAAAAACTAAACCAACTGCACAGTTTAAAACGCTATTAATTTATTTATGGCATATAGGAAGCATAAGCAAATAAGGAAATGAGTATAGCATATATTTAGAATAATTTAGATGATATAAAATGACCGAGAACGATGTAGAAAATTAATATTGTGAACAAATGTTGTAATAATGGCATAAGCATCTCAGATGAAGTCAACCATTTGACTGCTTGGTGAGGTCTGATAATAATGCTTAAATACATATTTATTTTTGCAATAAAAACAGGTTAGCTTACTTGCAAACTTTTCTAAACAGGTGTTTGGATCATTTCTTCCATCAAAGAAATTTTTTTTTTATAGTTTCTACATTTTACAATGTATATAATAATATAATACAATACAATATAATAATAACAGTAATATTTTATAATTAATTCACATGCTAAATATATTACCATTTTAAATTAGACCAATTGTAAAATTTTAGCAGCTATGTAGTGATTACCAGAAAAAATTTAATTATAATAAACAAAGTGAAACTAATGTAGGCAACATAATTATGTCATAGATACTACTAGGACTAGTAGTCATTATCATCATCATCTAGGACTAGTGGTGCTACTAGTAGTAGATGGTGAGTTTGTAGTTGTAGAGGTGAAGTCCCGCAATTAGACCAGTGATGGTAAACATGCCTACTAAATTTTGGCAATGAATGGATGCTTCTTTAGTAACTTGTAATAGTCTTCTCAGCGTTCTTATATCCATTGATATGGGGGCGTTTTTACTCTCCAAGCAAACGGCTTTCTAGCTTAAATGTAAATACAATAAATCAAATTTGGAATTGATTTTGAACATTTGAATTATAACATTTGCTTAAAAATCTGTTCAAGGACTCTCTGTCATGGAAATGTGAACAGAAGTGTAAACTACAATTTATTATTTTAATCACAGTTTGCAGCTTAAGAATTATGTAACAAAACTATGTATGTATGTATGTACATCAACAATATATATTATAGTATGTATTGTAACTATAATATTGAACTCTTACTATTTAATTAATAATTAAAATCATATCATATCATATCTTTTGAAAGGGCTTGTATTTTTTGTCATAGACTATAAAATGAATCTCATAATAATGAAAGATAATTAGTTATTACTTAAATAGGTACTTAAATATAATAGGTAAGCAATAGGTAAATATAATATTATTAGAATTATTGTTTTTTGAAAACATTACTGATGAATCTATACTGACATACTGATGATATTCTGTTACTTTTTAAAACTATATTTGAGTTAGAGAGCTTCTATAAAAGTCCATTGTAACATCTGCCACATAGTCATGATCAAATCTAAATATTTCGCTTGTATTATCACAGAGCTGTAAAAATGTGATTTGAATTTCACCATCGTTTACAGCAACCTTATCAATAACACTCATATTTTTACTCAACAATTTCATTGACCAAAGGATGATTGCAAGTTATTTTATAGATGTTGTCAGTGTCAAAGAATTATTGAATAGGTAGGTAATAGGCAGTAGGCAGAGGCCTGGCTCTGCCCCTGGCATTGCTGAGGTCTATTAGCGACGGTAACCACTCACCATCAGGTGGGCCGTATGCTCGTCTGCCTACAAGGGCAACAAAAAAATAATAATGTACTGCCTATTTACATTTTGAAAAGAAAAGTTTCTATGGGCATTCCAGAAGCTTGTGTGCATGGATCTGCACTGTCATACATATTTCTGCCACAGTTCAACTGTTCTTAAATGTAGAGTAATTCCTGGTATTGTCATGTTTATGAGCTCATAGGCATGTTATATAATAAATGAGGCTCTATCATGATCTTTTCACTGAATTTGAAGGAAAGTTTTATAAGCAACATGTTTATCTTACAACATTGCCTAGGTAGCCCTAAATTTCACATTGCTTTACAGATTTTTTCGTTTTCATTCTTCGGGATGGACGAGAATTCAAGTGAAGAGTATAAGCTCTTAAATAGGAAATAGTTATGTGGTCCCTACTCATGCGGGCAGACATCTTACCACCAGTAAATTCTATAATATTATTGCTATAATGTATGCCATGTTAGTAAATGTATGCATAATATAGTATGTGGTAAAGTAATAATGAACAAAAAATAAACTAAACATATATTATGTTCTCAGATATATAGAATTAACACAATTAAATCACTGTTCAGTTATACTTGATGATTTTTTAGTTACTTAAGTTTTTGGTCTAATAGATCTTTAAAGACTTGATAGAGTTATGATTAATAGAACTTTTTTTTTTTTTATTTAGTATAGATTTTCTGAAATTTGTTACTCGAATGGAATTGTAAAATTTTGGTATTAATAGTTTTACAATGTATAAAATAAATAAAATTATTAATAATGCTGTCAACTATTGCAATGTCATTTGTACAATTGAGGGGATCTTAATATGAACCTTCTTTTCTATTCACCTATATTCTGAATTAGTGCTCACTATGTTGTTATAGGTAATTAAATAAATAAATAAATGAAGACTTTTCAATTGAAGATAAGTTTTCACTTTCGGTACGCTGCTTCATTAGAAACATAATATATAACGTGTTACAAAATACCCCGTAAAAAATATGATTAATTATCAAAGCCTATAATTTTGTCAACCCTAGTAAGCAGTAATTTAACAGAAAGGCCTACGTACCTATTTTACCTAATAATTGTCTACTTTGATAGTTTTTCTATTTTTCATTCATAAATGTTTGCTACTTCAATACAAGGATGTCATTATAGTCAAGTAGGTACTTGTCGTCCTTGTCAAAACTTTTGTTGTTCCGCGAATTAGGTAGAAATGTAGGTACATTCTGCGTTGCTTACCTACTCTTTAATTTTATTGAAATAGGATTTTCACATGAGTGCAAATAATAATATTTATTTTATTTTTGTGCGGTATGTTATACAGCATTACTACGGCTGTTAAATATTGTAAACTAGCGACCCGCCCTCGCTTCACTTCGGAAACTGTAATTTATTATTGATTTCTCAACTATTTAATGGATGTTATTATACATATAAACCTTCCTCTTCAATCACTCTATCTATTAAAAAAAAACGGATCAAAAGCCGTTGCGTAGTTTTAAAGATTTAAGCATACATAGGGATATAGGGATAGAGAAAGCGACTTTGTTTTATACTATGTAGTGATGGACTCGTTATAAGGCCCCATTTAAGCTCCTTTTTTTACGGGTAGTTTTGTAACACCCTGTATAATTACGATCATGCACAGGTGCCGTATGAAGTGTTTAACAAGAAGTACCGCAGTGCTCAACGCGTCTTCGATGTTGAGGCGCGTCAGGTTAGCAGTGCCGCCACAGAAATGGAAACGGTCAAGAACCAACCCATCACCAATACAGAGATCGATAGTCTATTGGGTGGCATGGTATGTACATTAAAATTATTATAATAAAATGTACCGCGAGAGCTTAATGTAATTACTGTAGTTAGATCAGCGGCTCTCAACCTTAGCGTCGCGGCAAATGGGGGTGTCACAAGCCCCTTTTGAATTTGTCGCTAGGTTTACAAACACCACATTTTTGTCTAAGACCAGTAGGCGACAACCCGTGGCGCTTTGACTGTCTGGCTACGGTATTTCCGCGAAATATTTAGTCCAGAATATTACTTATAAATATTGCCTTCTAAGAGACGAGTAAATATTTTTGAAATACAAGGCTATAAAATAAATGTTAAAAAAATGGCTTTATAGATAATACACATAAATTAGTTATAGATAAGCAACTCAAGCACTCAACAAAAATGTTTACGGGCGTCGGCCACTAGATGGCTTCGCTTCGATTAGTTTCTCATTGCTACTTTAGATGGCAGTAACATATTAACTATCCTATATTTTATTTTTCCATGAACATGAGATGCGCCTTGAGCACGGTTCACCTGCCTTCGCATAAAAAAAATTAGCTAAAAAATAAACATGATTTGTTTATGACCTTATTTGTTTATTGTTTTATTGTTTATTTATCGATTTGTTAATTTTTTTACGGTTTTCCAGAGTCGTAGACGTAGTTAAAGCTATTTTACGGTTTAATCTCGGATTATTTTATTGTTATTGTATTATATTCTGGAAGTTACGAATACTTTACGGTTTTCGTGGTCGCGGACGAAATAATGTAATAAATTGTTCCCCAACCTTAAAGCTTACTATAAAGTCAATGATTATCTAGAAGATTGCACAAAGTGGGAATGAGTTGCGAGCTCCGGGCATTTCAATATTGTAATAATTGTTATGTTATAATTACTTATTGTAGAAAGGAATATTTAAAAAAAATCTACTATTAAAAAAAAACTAATATTTCAAAAAAAGACATGCCCGCTGAGTTTTTTGCCAATTCTTCTCAGGACGGAGGCTAATTCTTGTGAATTGGCGGTAGTTCTTTTGACGTTCAACAAGTATGTACTTTCATTTATGTTGAATCAAACTTTTTTGATTTGATTTGATAACCCACAGACACAGCCCACTGAGTTTCTCGCCGGATCTTCTCAGCCGGTCGCGATTCCGATCCGATGGTAGATTTAGCGAAGCACTGCTCTTGCTAAGGCCAGTTTTAGTAAATTCTCTCAGGTTGAATACGTGAGCTCACTTAATCGTACTCCTTAGACTAACAGCGAATAGGTAAAAAAAAGTAATGAACCGTAAAAAAAAAAACGCGAGATAAAATCGTTAAAGTAGCTTTAATTGTATCGTTACATTATTACTCGTAATACATTTTCTCGTAAAATGGTTCACGAGCTCATTCTCCGATGGCCAGCGTCGTATTAAAAGTTCTTTTCTCAGAAAAATATAAAATAGAAAACTGTGTCAGCTAATGTTTATTTAATATTTAGGCAAACGTTCAGTCTGGCTGTGAATTTGTGTCTAGAAACTTGTGTCTGAAGTTTTTTTTTTTTTTTTTACGTCATTTCAGCAGTAGGTACACAACATTGAAGTTTGAAGCTAGACTTTTGGTATTTAAAATAAAATAAAATATTGTTATCATATTCCTAGAGAAGTAGGTAAGTCTGTATTTTTTTTTATTGCTTAGATCGGCGGACGAGCTCACAGCCCACCTGGTGTTAATTGGATACTGGAGTCCATAGACATCTACCACGTAAATGCGCCACGCACCTTGAGATATAAGTTCTAAGGTCTCAGTACAGTTACAACGGCTGCCCCACCCTTCAAACCGAAACGCATTACTGCTTCACGGCTGAAATAAGCAGGTGGTACCTACCCGTGCGGACTCACAAGAGGTCCTACCACCAGTAATTACGCAAATTATAATTTTGCGGGTTTCATTTTTATTACACGATGTTATTCCTGCACCGTGGAAGTCAATCGTGAACATTTGTTAAGTACGTATTTCATTAGAAAAATTGGTACCCGCCTGCGGGATTCGAACACCGGTGCATCGCTACATACGAATGCACTGGACGTCTTATCCTTTAGGCCACAACGACTACTAGATACAAGCGTAAACAATGCATCAATTTTCATTCATTAATTAACCTGAATTTAGTCATCAGATAATGGGCAGCAGCATTCTCACTGGTCACCGTCCTCGCCGAATCTGTCGCTTGCGACGAAGACCTCGACGAGTTAATTAACCCATAGACACAGCCCACTGAGTTTCTCGCGAAGAACATGTAGCTCCCAAAAAAAGGGTAATCAGGTAAGTAAGGCTCATCTCACAAACCACACCATGTTCTGGTATTGCACTAGCTCTGCTGGAATTATTTTAGAATAATATCGCTCAGTTTATAGGCAAAAGCAAAGGTCTTCCATCGCGCAAGTAAGTTGTTAGTAGAGCGACTGCCTGCATATTTTTGTTTGGAACTTGTATATTATATGCAAGCTTATCTATAAAGAGATTATGATTCACAAAAGTAGAAGGCATCTCACACACCAGACACATAGGGTCGGACCGATCTTCAATCTGGTCAGCGCTGGTCGGCATTTCAACGTAACCCTCAAACCTCCTAAAGATCCAGCGTTTGCAGGTCGAGAAGTTGACAACGATGAAGCGAAAAGCGAGCGAGGCTATTAACGAGGAGCTCCAGGTCGCGTACGTCTGCAAGAAGCGTCTGGAACACCTGAAGGAGCAGGCCAGCGCCCTCGCCGAGCCGTCCTCCACGCAGGTGAAGGTGCTGTCACTATATCCGATATCCTATAAAAACGATCTCTTGATGAATTGATGACATTGATTCTATTTATTTTACACTAGCGGCCCGCTCCGGCTCCGCTCGGGTCTTTAACAAAAATTTCAACGATATTTGACGTTTTATTTTTTTAAATAAAATAACACTTATTGCTGAGACATATGCTGTCGCGACACTTTTTGTAAATAATAATGTGTTCTACAAAGTCGTAGTATATTATTTTATTCTATCATCAATAGTTTTTGCAGGACACGCGATGTAAAGAATAATTTAGCTATTTTTTTTACACATTGGGTTACATTATTGGAGTATTAGTAAGGATCCCTAATTTTATAAAAAAAAAACATTATAGCCTATGTCTCTCGGGATTAGTGTAGCTACTAAATTGTGAAAGAAGATTTCAAATCGGTTCAGTAGTTTTGGAGCCTATTCAATACAAACAAACAAATCTTTCCTCTTTATAATATTAAGTATAGATTAAGTAGGTATAGATTAAAGCTAATTGCACCGTCCTCTAAACCAGACGCCAATGATTGTACTTTTCTTTCTGTTACTTTAGATTTTGTTTCTCAAGGTGAATAGATTTCTATAATTCTTCTTTATTCGAATGCTTTTCGTTGAACTCATTAGGTTGACTCCGACTACATTGATGATATACTTATTGCGTCTGATGTTTGTCTAAATCGGTCTTGTTATAATTTTGTATTTTATCCTTATCTATTTATATAAAGATATTAAATGTAAGATTTGAAACCGGATAAACGAACGGCACTCGATCGTTCACAGACAACGCTGAACCAATGGCGTAAAGTGCGTCTCGATCGGATGCTGGTTGACTACTTCCTGAGGAACGGTTACTACGAGTCTGCCTGGAAGCTGGCGGAGTCCGCCGGCCTCAGGGAGCTTACCAATGTCGGTACGTGGCAGTGCGGTCCGCGGTACCTTCCCGGGCGGGGCAAATGCGCCGGTCCTTATGGCCAAATGGAGTTTGATGCCGCATATAAATTGAAATGCGGTTTTGTGGGACGCATTTTTAGAAATGACTAGCTGTATCCGTCCGCTTCGCTGGGCATTTAAAATTAACATTATCATTTCTCACCTCCACAAAGATTCTCATCATTAACGCCCCCGCAACTGGTGTAGGGAGTCCAACACTCATATAAATATTAGTCTATCCGTTAAGTACATGTATTTTCTACATGGATACCAAGACTCAAGTCATCCGTACAAACATCCGTAAAAACCACTATAGATTTATATATTAGTATAGATTTACAATGAAAACTTGATTCAATAAATGAAATTTTGTCTCAATCCTCCCCTCACTGGCTGGTTTGAATCTAGTGTCTATTGAACACGGACCACCAAGTACATGTGTCGTGTATATCGACAGACATATACAGCGCGGCCGCCGCGGTCGAGGCCGAGCTGAAGAGCCAGAGGACGGCGCGCTGTCTGCAGTGGTGCTCCGACAACAAGTCCAAGCTGAGGAAGCTGAACTCCACGATGGAGTTCAACATCAGGATACAGGTATCTGTGTTAACTGGTTTCATGATTACGTATTAACGCATCCATTCGGTTCATTATTTGTGTATTTTTTTTTTCCTACCTAGGGGTAGCCTTGATTAGTAGGTGAGCTCACGGGGCTCAAACCTGACGACGTTGCTAACACTGGCCCTAGCAAGAGCAGTGCTTCGCAGAATCTACCACCGGATCGGAAACGCGACCCACTGAGAAGATCCGGCGAGAAACTCAGTGGGCTGTGTCTGAGGGTTAATTTACTCGTCGAGCCCGTCGTCGCACTCCGGTGCTTGGGGTACCTAAAAACACTGTTAGTGGATCGGGAGAGCCTATTCGCGCGGACTCACAAGAGGTCCTACCACCAGCAATTACGCCAATTATACTTTTGCGGGTTTGATTTTTATTACACGATGTTATTCCTACACCGAGGAAATCAATCGTGTGAACAATGGTTAAGTACGTATTTCATTAGAAAAATTGGTACCCGCCTCCGGGCTTCGAACACCGGTGCATCGCTAGATACGAATGCACCGGACGTCTTATTATGTATCATCGCTGGATTTTGGGCTTGGCGTAATGGATTCTGTCCACCCCTGCAGGAGTTCATAGAGCTGGTGCGCGAGGACCGGCGCCTGGAGGCTGTGCGTCACGCCAGGAAGCACTTCTCCAACCACGAGGAGGGGCAGCTGGTCGACATTCAGCACTGCATGGGCATGCTGGCCTTCCCCAAGGACACCGGTGAGCTCGCCATGCGCTGTGCACAGTTATACATCTATACATATAAATAAAATTGGAGTGTATGTTTGTAATATTGAAATAACCGCTTTTTGCTACATGCATATGAATATATATACGGTACATACACCAAAATAACATTTTTTACAATTTTTGTCTGTTTGTCCCGGCTAATCTCTGGAACGGCTGGACCGATTTTGATAATACTTTCACTAATAGGTAGCTGATGATATAAGGAGTAACTTAGGCTACTTTTTTTAGATTAGCTTCGCCTCGCGGCGTCACCCGCGGTATGACAATAACCGCGGGTGACATCGCGGGACTCAACTATCTATATATATAAAAATGAAATGCTGTTCGTTAGTCTCACTAAAATACGAGAACGGCTGGACCGATTTGGCTAATTTTGGTCTTGAATTATTTGTGGAAGTCCAGAGAAGGTTTAAAAGGTAGATAAATATGAAAATGCTCGGAATTAAATGAAAATAACAATTTTTTGTTTTATCTTTGTTTTGTCCCCTGTCGGACGGATTCCTTTTGTTTGTTTCAAGTTTATTTTATACAAAAGTTTAGGTTTTTTATTTATCGATTGAGGCACTACGAAGTCTACCGGGCCAGCTAGTAGAAAATATTTTTTAATTACGATAGAAATACTTTTATTGTGAGTCTGCGCGGGTAGGTACCACCACCCTGCCTATTTCTGCCGTGAAGCAGTAATGCGTTTCGGGTTGAAGGACGGGGCAGTCGTTTTAACTATATTGAGACCTTAGAACTGATATCTCAAGGGTGGCGCATTTACGTCGTAGATGTCCATGGGCTCCGGTGAACACTTAACGCCAGATGGGCTGTGAGCTCGTCCACCCACCTAAGCAATAAAAAAATGATTTGATTTGGTTTGGCTGGTCGCGCGCAGAGGTGGAGCCGTACCGGTCCCTGCTGGCGCGCGGGCGCTGGGCGCGGCTGGTGCGGCAGTTCCGCGCCGAGCACGCGCGCCTGCTGCACCCCGCGCCGCTGCCGCTGCTGCCCGCCACGCTGCAGCTGGGCCTGGCCGCGCTCAACACGCCATATCCTTTACAATACAATCTCGTAGCTCGATAGAGACCGTCGCAGACACCTTGGGACATGAGGTCTTGACTGTTCGGTTGGCAGCGGCGTGGCTCTGCCCCTGGCATTGCTGAAGTCCATGGGCGACTCACCATCAGGTGGGCCGTATGCTCGTCTGCCTATACGGCAATAAAAAATAAAGGTCGAAGGTCTAGTCATATTTTTTTTTCTATCTAAGCTGAGAGCCTTGAGAGGCTATTTCAGCGTAACTTTAATTAGTAGGTGAGCTCACGGGGCTCAAACCGGAGTGATGCTAACACTGACCCTAACAAGGCAGTGCTTCGCAGAATCTACCACCGGATCGGAAACGCGACCCACTGAGTCTAATCATTTGTACATAGTGAACACTAGTTCAAATCGGTGTTAGATCTTGTAACCAAAGCCAAAAAGTCGATAGAGTCCGTAACTCTGGCGCACTCAGTGCTACAAGGAGAGCAGCCAGGCGGCGGACTGCCCGGCGTGCCAGGCGCCGCTGTCGGGGCTGGCGAGGCAGCTGCCGCACGCGCACTGCTCGCACTCGCGCCTCGTGTGCCGCATCTCGCGCCTGCCGCTCAACGAGCACAACCAGCCCATGGTGCTGCCCAACGGACAGGTCTACGGGGAGAAGGTGCGACCTGCCAACACTGCTGCCACTACCAACACGCACTACCACTACTGCTACTAGCACCGCCACTACTACTACTAGCACCGCCACTACTACTACTACTACCATTACGACTAGTACCGCCACCGCCACCACTATTTCTACTACTATTACTACTAATACTGCCGCTACTACTACTGCCGCTTCTACTACCACTACCACTACTAATACCACTACTACTACTACTAGTACCACTACCGCCACTACATCTGGTATTACTACTACCACTGCTACCTCTTGGAGATGCTACCTTTACACAGAATCATATTTGACAACTGCTTATTTTGACAAGAAAATGGTTAACTTTTTAAAACATTTTTTTTTATTGCTTAGATGGATGGACGAGCTCACAGCCCACCTGATGTTAAGTGGTTACTGGAGCCCATAGACATCTACAACGTAAATGCGCCACCCACCTCGAGATATAAGTTCTAAGGTCTCACTATAGTTACAACGGCTACCCCACCCTTCAAACCGAAACGCATTACTGCTTCACGGCAGAAACAGGGTGGTGGTACCTACTCGTGCGGACACATCGACCCGACCCGTCACAAGAGGTCCTACCATCAGTGATTACGCAAATTATAATTTTGCGGATTTGATTTTTATTACACGATGTTATTCCTTCACCGTAGAAGTCAATCGTGAACATTTGTTGAGTACGTATTTCATTAGAAAAATTAGTACCCGCCTGCGGGATTCGGACACCGGTGCATCGCAACAACGAATACACCGGACGTCTTATCTTTTAGGCCACGACGACTTCAAACGACTTTTTTTTTAAGATCTAGGTGAAAGCGTCGTATCAAACCTACATATACACAGTTTGGTTGCGTATATTAATATTGTCAGTGCAGTCTCAAATTTAGTGCCAACTGTTAATTATTGTACGCGACATTTCCAGGCTCTGAAGCAAATGATGAAGGAGCACGGCTCGATCATCTGCCCGAAGACGAAAGAAGTGTTTTGCATGAAGCGCGTCGAGAAGGTGTACGTCATGTGAGCCTCGCGACCCCCCGTGAGCACCCCCGCGACCCTTCGCAACGTGCACCCCGAGTTAACCACCCCCTCCCTACTCTACTCGACTAAAAACCCTAAAAGAACTAATTTATCACTTTATTGATCCACTAGCTGTATCCGTCAGGTTTGCTGGGCATTTAAAATTAACATTATTATTTCTCACCCCCACACAATCTCATCATTAACGCCCCCGCAACTGGTGTAGGCAGTCCAACACTCATACAAATATTAGCCTATCCATTAAGTACATGTATTTTCTACATGGATACCAAGTTTCAAGTCAATCGGATGCACGATTCAGTAGTTATAACGGAACATCCGTAAAAACCACTGTAGATTTATATATTAGTATAGTATCCACTTTAATGATGTAACAAATATATGTCAATATATGGTAATAGTAACGCTGAATGTGTTTCCTGATCTTTATATTATATACATATAATTCTACTGTACCTGTGTATGTCACTGAACTCCTCCAAAACGTGTAGACCGATTTTTATTTTTTATTTTTCTGAATGTTTTCAGTAAATTTTACGAATGATTTAGATTCACAATTCGGTCCACTAAAAATGTTTTTTTTTAATTATTATTTTTCGTAAAGTTTGAAATTTTCGGACTTAGGACTAGACCACGTCTGTCCGGGTCCGCTAGTAATAATAATATATATTGAAAATAATTTTATAAAAAAACCAGAACTCGATAGGTAAAGGTGAATGTTTCGTGACGTCACAAGATAGTAAACAGTGGTGTGCTCTGTGGCGATTAATGTTCTCAAAACCGAAATGTTATGAATTTGTATGTAAAAAATAAATTTGGTCTTGCTTAGATTTTATTATATAGGCGGAACCCTAATAAACTGCGAAGTTTTTTTTTTGCTTTTTTTTTTACCTACCTTTGCTGGTAAGCTTGAGGGGTTATATTAGCTCCACCAAACGTATAGACGAACGTATTAGCTAACACTAGCTCTAGCAAGAGCAGTGCTTCGCAGAATCTACCACCGGATCGGAAACGCGACCCACTGAGAAGATCCGGCGAGAAACTCGGTGGATTAAGCTCCGAAGAGAATGTGAATAAGAATACATTTTGTTTGAAGATCAAAGTAGTTTTTATATTCGATTTCAAACATCAATGAATTGAATTTCAGAACAGCGAAGGGTCTTTTAAAGAATCTGAATTTTTAATATTAAATATATTATTATGTATTAATAAGGTAACGTATAATAAATTTACGCACGGATTCTATTATCGGTTTTAAAAAGAAAAATGTTTGTGAATAGAAAAAAACTATAACAAAAGAATTTTTGTTTTTATATATATCTCTTTTATATCCTTTGTTTATTTAGATTTAAAAATATATATATAATAGTAAACATGTTTCAATCACTTTGAGATGACTCTTAAATAACGAAAACTAATTGCCACTCGACGATCGAAATCCGACTTTAATCACCAACGCTTCAAGACTTAATTTTATGATAGGTTTTCTCTTTTTTTTTTACTTTTTGAAAATTGAAATTGTTTTTAAAAATAATACATCTGGGAATTCTTAAAATTCTTGAATTTAAAAAGAAAATCTGCTGACAAACAGAATTGATACTCAAGTTTTTTGGTTCCTTTAAATATATATATTGTATGTGACAATAATATACAAAATAAAACTATGTTAATTTTTATATAGCCATGTCGGTGTTACCGTTTTGAAGACCGTCGCCTCATTTCATTCGAAGTTTTGTAAATCGTTTTTTTATTTTAGTATTTTCCCTTTCCGAAATGCCATAATTTGGTCAGTAGTGTAATGTTTTTTTTTTAATTTCTTCTTTAATAGCGAATGTTTTTTTTATCGTGTATTTAGTTTTAATGATCTGTAATTGTTATTTGTTTAAACAATATACCTGTGCTCTGAGAAATTGTGTAAATTAAAGCAATTACAAAAAACTAAAACGTATTCTTCATTGATATTACATTATTTTTTTTAAGGGATTTTATGGGCTGGTAACTAAGACCTTTAGGTCATGTTTTATTTTAATTTATATTCTTATTTTTATGAAAAATGATGAGTGAAATGAAATGAAGGTGATTAATGACAGACATTTTCCCACATTTATGCACTTTCACAGATATGAAACAGTTAATAAACCACCGTTAATACACATTAATACCTGAAGAAACACTAAGTAGACAAAATAAAACAAATCACACAACTTCCTTTTTTTTTATTGCCTTTATAGGCGGACGGGCATACGACCCACCTGATGGTGAGTGGTTACCGTCGCCCATGGAGTTCAGCAATGCCAGGGGCAGAGCCAAGCCGCTGCCTACCGCTTAATACTCTCCACAAGCCTCGTTTGAAGAAGTTCCTTCCTCGTGTACCCGCCAAAAAGTTCATTGATATTACAAAAATGAAAAAAAAATCTACTTTCTGAGTAATAATAAGATAATACGCGACGACCTCAGTAATATTATACTGATCAGTAATATTTTCTCCCAACCCGCTGACCGCGTGTTGTGAATGAAATTGAAGTACATACGTACCTACATATTAATAAGAACATCTCAAAACATATTAATGAATTCAAAGGACCTATTTCACTTAGTTGTTTTTACTTTTTTTTCTCCACCTATTCGCTGACAGCCTAAGAGTCTATTCTAGCTACGATTGGATGGGTAGGTGAGCTCACAAACTCAACCTGAGAGAATTTGCTAACACTAGTCCTAGCAGTGCTTCGTTGAATCTACCACTGGATCGGAATTGCGACCCACTGAAAAGATCCGGCGAGAAACTCAGTGGGCTATGTCTATGGGTTAGTCCACGAGGACGGTGACTGGTGCTTGAAGAGTCTAAAAGCACCGTCCTTACGTAATGTTAGACGCTGTATAGCAACAGTACAGAACCAGACTATAATGAAACTATGTAAAAAGTAGTAGAGTAGCCTTTAGTTTCAAAACCGGTAGTTTTACATTGCTGATGTCCAGGAGCAGAGCTAACCACTTGCCATTAAATGGGCTGTATGCTCAAATTTTATGTGTATTATCTGTTGTCTGCCTATAGGGCGTTATAAAAAAAAAAAATGTAATAATTGTAACAATTGTCTATGGTAAGGGCGGGCATGTGACGGAAGTAATTCGGTTATTTCTAGATTCAAACACAACTAGACAAGGGACCGTTGATAACAATAAAAACAAATTCTGTATTTCACATATTTTATTTATTTTTATTAACTTTTTTACATTATAATACTTTTTAATGGCATTTTTATCACATTTATTCGTTTAGTGGATACAAAGCTAATCGCTATTTCTATAATATAATAGAATATCATCTTCAGAGCGAAATTATCGACATTATTTAACCTCTTTCTTTAGCAAACTTTTTCCATTTAATGTATTTGTTAATAAATTCAACCTCTTAAGTCTGACCACTTATTAGTTGGATTTTCATTCGTGTGTAAGTATTTGATTGATAAAAACGTCTCCTATGCGCATGTTGTATTACTTAATGTAAAGTTTGTACGTTGGGTTGTCATTTGCGTTGAGTAACTATTATTTAATCAACTTTAAAATAACTATAATAGCTTTATGAAAAAACAGTATTCAAATCATAATTATAATTGAACTTCTTTATTTAGTATATTGACGAAATTTACAATTTATATATTTAAAAAAAAACCTAAATGACACATTTATCACAATATAAGTGGAGTTATATTTTACACACGTGCTCGTGTTGCTTCGTTAGACACGTGCCTTGTATATTGCGAACTACATCCTAAGACTTAAACTTAATTAGAAATGCGGTTCATTGCTTTGAAAAGGAGAGATCAATTTGTACACTGATGTTTAATTAATAGATTTGACGATTACTTCACGACTATTAACTTTACGTATTTCCAGTTAAAATTTCCATTAACCATTTGACTTATCTATGAGATGATTAGTTTAGAAAGTTTTTTTTAATTCTCTAATTCAGCGATTAGTTATATAGCAGCAATCGACAATGATGTTTAGTACTAGTGAAAACCAAAAACACCTATATAACTTTTACATATAACGCATTTGTATAATAAATATATTGTAAAAATATTTTATAATATTTTATCGAAAATTTAAAAAGACCAGAACTCCCACTGAATTTCTTGCCGGATCTTCTCAGTGGGTCGCGTTTCCGATCCGGTGGTAGATTCTGCGAAGCACGGCTCTTGCTAGGCCTAGTGTTAGCAAATTCTCTCAAGTTGAGCCTCTTAGGCTACCAGTGAATAATTAAGGGAAAAAAGAGCATTGCTCAAATGACTTTATAAAAGTATTAAATAATGCTAACACGATTGACTGATTGTCATCATTTGAGTTCACTCAACGACTCCTCGAGCGAGTCGTGTTCAGTACACAGCTGATACAAAAACACACTGATACACAACTATGTATAATTTCCAGAGATTTATTATATAGTAATTCCCTTATAACACGGTACTCTTATAACGCATTTCATATTACGCGTTTTTTTTTTTTTTTGCCCTCGTAGGCAGACGAGCATACGGCCCACCTGATGGTGAGTGGTTACCGTCGCCCATGGACTTCAGCAATGCCAGGGGCAGAGCCAAGCCGCTGCCTACCGAAAATGCCTCGTATAGCACGAGTATTCCCCCATATAACGCGGGGATTTCTGTGCATACTGTAAAATCTATAATGATTTGTACAGTTCATAAATAATTCCGTCTAACTTTGTACACTGTCAATTATGTTGTTATAAAAGAACATTGAAGTTATTTATGAAATTTATGTTTCTAATTTTTTTTATGTTATATTGTATATTTGTACATAACGCGTTATATGGGGTCATACAAGCGCGTTATGCAAAAAGACTCCTACAACGCGTTACTTATAACACACTACTGCTTAAACTGTAATATAGTTTTTATTCGATTTTACAGTTACCGATACATTCACTAGGCAACTTTAAGGCTGTTATAAACATCTCTTACTTAATCAACTAAGTATTTTTGCTTACAACTAATTAACATCGAAATTGTATGTACATGTTATTAAAACTTTGTACAACTATAAACTTACATTAACTTAAAATATATTTGTAATTCGAGTACTGTATAATTTTTCAAATCAAATATGGATTTTTTTTTCTCCAGGCTAATAAACTTATCACTACTGTAATTAATCATATTTTGTATCATAAAATGTAATTCCAATAGTTAAGTACAATAAATATGTGAACAAAAAATTTTGTGAAAGAAAAATATATGCGACTTATATATCGCTTTTTTGGCGCGATAGTGACATAATTGGCAAAAAAAGTGTAATTGATTTAATTATACCACAATGATTTTTTTCCACTTAGATATGGTTTGATTTTTTGGAACGAAGTTCCTTATCGCGCGTTGTGAAAGGGGGCTAGACGGAAAAAAATCTTACGAAAATTTGTTGACACTTTTTAGATCCGTCATTCTGACCAATCAACGTGTAGGCGCTTATCGCGTGACATTGCTCGTATCCGATTGGTCCGCGTAATGAGTACAGTTTCTCGAGATAGCGTTTCAACAATAGTAATTTAGTTCATAGTATTGTTTTTTTTTTCTTCATAATGCCGTAATTTATTATTATAACTTAAAAAAAAAAATTACAATTCCTTCACTAATTAATCGAAAGGAACTTCGTTCCATCCGGGTGTCCCTTGACACCTCTGAAGTTTTTTTTTTTTAAATTAATCTCGTTTCTAGCCTAGACTTCAAACTACAAAAGTAAAATAATAGTGATAGTCATTACCTGTCAGAAATATTTAGAATCTTCATTAGTATTACGAAAACTGGCGTAGTGTAAAATTTACAAATTTACAGTTGTGTCACAGTCGTTCCAAATGAGCGATATGGGAATATGTTTTACACTATACTAATTGGTTTTTGGTATACACTGGCTAAATACTATTTATTGTTTACATGTTAATAATGAATATTTGTTATACTGTCCCCGGACAGTGTTGCCAGGATATATTGGACAAGTCGCCGCGTACGGACTGCGGTTGGTAATGTGAGGACACATTAGATATAAGTTTTTATTGGTGACTGACGCTTCCCTCCTTCGATAGTGTGCGTATGATGTGACATCATATGTGGTGACTAGACGTAATAAACCAAACCGATAAAAAAATTGTGATAATAGAAATAAAATTAACAAATTTAAAACAATCATTTTTTTTGTTGAATACGAATGATTTATATTATTTGAACTACTTTGGGAGGAATCAACAGATCACGTTCGGATTGTCGATAGTCCCGGATTCGTTTGAAGTATGAAATATATATAATCATTTTGTCCGTATGTATGTCAGCTAACTCCTACGAAGCGGCTGAAGCGATTTTGATAAAAAAATTTTGTGATAAAGTTCTAGTGAATTCGATTATGTTTCAAATTTGACAATTTGACCATTAAAAAAGCTTTTTAATTTACTTTGTTGTAAAAAAAAGGTTTGGTATTTTCAAATTTAAGACAGGAGTACATCTGTCGGGTATCCTAGTATATATGCATATTTATAGGAAGGAAATACGTACCATCCAAAGATTATGAGACAAAGTTTGTACAAGGGTTATTAAAAAACGAAGAAAATTTCATATTACAAGTAAACACATTGAATATTGTTTAAAACGCTAAATCTATCCTAATATTCGATATATAATAATACTTTTTAAATGGTTAACTTTTTTTACAAAAATATATCTATTGATTACATCTCTCTATGAATTCTACGAGCAAATATGTTTTTCTTTAAATTTATATACTGTATAATCGTGATGAAAGTTTAAAAAAATATATTTAAAACATTATATCCGATACATTGTTTCAATAATTTTGAACTAAAATATTATATTTTTACTTGCAAACGCAATCACAAAATCTCATAAATGACAACCTATCTACTTGTGGTATGTAGACGGCTAGGAGGATCCTATCATCTACTTTTTTTTTATTGCCCTTGTAGGCAGATGAGCATACGGCCCACCTGATGGTGAGTGGTTACCGTCGCCCATGGACTTCAGCAATGCCAGGGGCAGAGCCGAGCCGCTGCCTACCGCTACTTGTGGTCTACCCGAAGTACGTGGTGAGGGTGTGCATGAGCAGGATGCCGAGGGCGAGCGCCGCGAAGTGCTTGAGGGACTCCAGCTTGGAGTGCTCCCGCAGCAGGTCCGGCAGCACCGTCACCAGCGCGATGTGCAGGAACCCGCCCGCCGTGAACGGCACGATCCACGAGGTCTTCGCTTCTGTAACCAGAACATAACTTTCTTTATTATTGATAGGGGGAATCCCGCCATGTTGCGCGCGGTACGACAATAAATACGGGTGACGCCGCGGGACGAAGCTAGTCTAAAAAAAGTAGCCTAAGTATGTAGTATTATATTATAATAAATTGTGTAGTAATTGTATGTATATTTACGGATATATGTATGTATGTGTATATGTATTTCACTGGATTGATACACCGCGCGTAGTTCGTTTCCAAATGATTCTTGTCCACCTGATGGTTGTCTGGAAGAGATCGCTCTTAGCGATAAGACCGCCAATTGTACTTTTTTGTATTTAATGTATCGCACTGTTTATTTGTTTTTTTGTGTACAATAAAGAATACTCTCTCTCTCTCTCTAAGTTACTCCTTATATCATCAGCTACCTATTAGTGAAAGTCTCATCAAAATCGGTCCAGCCGTTCCAGAGATTAGCCGGGACAAACAGACAGACAGACAGACAGACAAAAAAATTGTAAAAAATGTTATTTTGGTGTATGTATCGTATATATATTCATATGTAGTAAAAAGCGGTTATTTCAATATTACAAACAGACACTCTAATTTTATTTATATGTATAGATTGTACATACAGTTAATACAATACAATAATTGCGATAAGATATAAAAATGGCGAGGTTAACTCAACAATTGAGTTATCTACCGTTCTTAAAGAGGGAGAGCTTTACATAAGCGGGTAGAAGAGTACAATCTAATCAATCTTAACTTATTGATACAATACACAATAACAATAATATAAATTGTCATTTTGTCAGGGGATTCCTCTACATTTCCTCTTTTTTACTTTACTTGATATCCTTGAGAAGCTTATCGGCGTTGTCAAATATGACGACCCTCAGCATTGAGGATTATCGACGCAAAGATGATAGGCCTTGTACATTGCACCTGAGATTGGGACTGTTTGTCTCAAGAAAGTGGGCGCCACTCACACCGATGTTCATAGGTTCGGCTAATTTCTTAATATCAGTAAGTGAGATCGTTAGCACATCTAAGTCACGAAGATGAAGATTGTCTGAATTCCTTATTCACAATTTTTTTTTCTTAACTAATCTGATGATAGCCTTGAGAGGCTATTTCAGCGTTACCCTAACATAAAGGTGAGCTCACGGGGCTCAAACCCGACGACGTTGCTAACACTGCCCCTAGCAAGAGCAGTGCTTCGCAGAATCTACCACCGGATCGGAAACGCGACCCACCGAGAAGATCCGGCGAGAAACTCAGTGGGCTGTGTCTGTGGGTTAGTTTACTCGTCGAGCCCTTCGTTGAAAACGATGATCGGTGCTTGAGGTATTTAAAAGCACCGTTTAGGGCGTGTTTAGGACGACGATTTCCTCTGTAATCGTCATTACATTATTTACAGATATTTTAAAATGATTAACTTAATGAATAACATGTTAATATTCGGGTTCATACAACAGGTGGCTTTTGGTTACTCACTGCTCACCAATGCTCATAATAAATAATTAAAAATAAAAACGTTATGGGTTCGACATTGGTGAAAGGATCGTATGAGTGAAGCGTATTTAGTTCCGTGGCCCTTAATGGCTTAGCGGTTCAATAATCAATGCTCGCGATCACTGAGCCGAGGGTCGTGCATTCGATTCCCTAGCAAACATCTGTGTGATGAACTGATTCATTAGTTGTATCTTCGAGCGTCTATATGTCTATACATCGTCGCCGTCAAACCAAATTGTGCTATGTGCAAAAACTCTAGTCTGAATTAACGAGTAAAAACACCTTCGTATAAAATTTTATATATAATTAATTTTTTTAGAACTATATATCAAATGAAAGCTATAGATAAATATTAAAGCTATAGACACATAACAGTTTTTTTTTATACGGTAGATTTTTTTATTGCCCTTGTGGGCAGACGAGCACACGGCCCACCTGATGGTGAGTGGTTACCGTCGCCCATGGACTTCAGCAATGCCAGGGGCAGAGCCAAGCCGCTGCCTACACATAGCAAATTTTGGTTTGACAACGACGATGTGTATATTCGAAGGGTATATAAGTGCGTATATGAGTGGTGGTGGTGGTGGTGCCCGCGGACAGCAGCAGGACGTACCGAGCGAATTGCTGGCGCCGCTGAACACGACGGCCGTCATGGCGCCCACCAGCCCCGCCGTCGCCGTGGCCTGCGGACAACACCACGGTCATACAAGCGAACCCACTAAACTGATGTTCGAATTAAATTCAAATAATAGCATTTTTTTTATTGCTTTAATGCGTGGACGAGCTCACGGCCCATCTAAGGTTAAGTGGTTACCTCACTATAGTTACAACGGCTGCCTCATCATTCAAACCAAAACGCATTACTGCTTCACGGCAGAAATAGGCGGGATGGTGGTACCTACCCGTGCGGACTCACGCGAGGTGCTACCACCAGTAATTACGCAAATTATAATTTTGCGGGTTTGATTTTTATTACACGATGTTTATTCCTTCACCGTGGAAATTGATAATGTGATAAATTTTATTTGAACAGCAGAAGCATAAAGTCGTAGCATAGTTTCTTTTAAAAACCACCGCCCCGCCTATTTCTGCCGTGAAGCAGTAATACATTTCGGTTTGAAGGGTGGAGCAGCCGTTGTACTGTAAAACTGAGACCTTAGAACTCATGTCTCAAGGTGGGTGACGCATTTACATTGTAGATGTCTATAAGATCAAGTGGGCTGTGAGCTTGGTCACCCATCCAAGCAAAAATAAAAATAATTGTGCATACCAGTTGTGCTTTGGCGGCCTCCCACCTGGAGAACCCGCTCTTCAGCAGTATGGCGAAGTCTCCCACCTCGTGCGGGATCTCGTGCACTGGAACATACAGCACTAGTGTTGGAGACGAGGGGGACAGGGGGGACGGTGGGGGACCAGGGGGACACCTGCCCCCCCACTTCACTTTACAGTAGGCGCATCTCCATCCCATTATGTCTATCTAATAAGTATATTGTATCCCTAATCATTGTTGAATATTGAATCACGTTCTTCTTGTATTAAAATTTACTAATAATATAAATAATAATAATTATAATGGTTGGTTCGAGGTAAGTATCTAAGCTGGCATAAAGTAAAAACTATTGACATAAAAAAAAAAAAATTATTTTAAACTTACCTAATATGGCAAAGGTGGTGAGAACTCCGACCCGGAACCCGACGAGGAACGAGCCCCCGACCGCGAGTCCGTGGGTGAAGTTGTCGATCGAGTTCGCCATCAGATTCAAATAGCCCGCCACCTGGAAATCATTACTTGCACACTTGATATAAACACAATATGATGAGAGCGGTTCTCGTCTCGTGCCGCCTTCTCGAAATGCTCTTATTTAAGTTTTTTTTTGACGTGACGATGTCTTATAATTCGATGGAGCCGGCTGCACGCACGAAAAAACATAACTCATGCGGCGTTACCTCGCTCTGAGGCGTTCCATTTAAGGCTTGAAGTGCAAGCGAGAGCGCGCAACGAGCGACAAAGAGGCACAATCGGCCTCCGCGTTCGGCAGCGTCCGACATCTGTCTCTCTCCTACTTGAGTGAGCGATGCATCCGCGTGGACAGCTGCTATACAATAATACATTTACATGTTTTCGTCAAGTATGAAGTTCAGTGAAAAGTGAATGTGGTGTCAATTGTTTAAAGCAACGATAATTGCGATAATTAAAAAATGAAACCATTCCATCAGTATTTTCTTATGACGTTATCTCGTTCAACTATCGTCAGTAAACCGACTTACAGACAACCGATTTTTATTCCTACCTAAGTTGAGAGCCTTGAGAGGCTATTTCAGCGTCGCCTTAATTAGTAGATGAGCTCCGGGGCTCAAACCTGACGACGTTGCTAACACGAACCCTAGCAAGAGCCGTGCTTCGCAGAATCTACCACCGGATCGGAAACGCGACCCACCGAAAAGACCCGGCGAGAAACTCAGTGGGATTTATTTTAGTGCTGAGCTTATTTATGTTTACAAATTTGGTAGAAATTTCAAAAGGATTTTTGAGAAAAAGTAAGCACCTTATAAAAAACTTAAACAAAAAAAAAATACAAAAATATTCGAATTAATTAATTTCGAGTCGATCTATCGACGGTTCGCGCTCGAAGGGTTAAAAGCGTTTTTAACACGCTTTTAATTAATTAATTACCTCTTCCTGTATGTATAAATCAACGTAATGAATTTTTTCAATGTCATTTTCGTCGACTTCAAGAGGTCAACTTGACAATTTATACACGTATCAAGGACCACCAAGACTATACAATTAATTATAATTGAACTCGACAAATAATTATCTTCGTTTTTGTAAAACAAAATCACTTTTTTTAGTTATTAAACATTCAACACTAATCACTGTTTTTTTTGTGTACACTCTATAGTTAGTTCGTTCATTTTGGCCACAAATGACGTCATACATAATGCATTTAGGTTCAGTTTTTTTGTAAAATTTCCTCCGTGTGTTAGAATAACTAAAAAATTGTTGAGTAGAGTTTGCGCTTGAAAATTGAGCTCATCAAAGCAATAAGAAAATGGTTGAAATGGATGAAAAGCGTTGAAATTAAATGTGAGAAAGAGATAGACGTACATCTTTTTTCTCAGTTTTCTCTTTACTGGCCCGGAGTGCTTTCTCCCGAGCTTCCCGAAGCAAGCAGCGTCCCATCCAACGAGAGGAGCCCTTACAGCGGCCGCTGGCTCCAGCGTTGCTTGTAGGCATGCTGCAACATCCTCCTTCGCCTGCGAAAAAAAAAAGGTTTTAAATTCAATGGCAGCAACGTCTTTTTTTTGCTTAAGTAAATAGGAGTGTACGAACGAATTTCAATTTTAATACGCTTTTATTAGCTTCCGACGTATGTATGTTAGTTAGTATGTAACGGAATCTTTGAACATGATTTTGACCCCCTTCAAAACGTCGGATTAACTCGAAATTTGGCATACTTATTAAGGACCGATGACAATGTGGGTGCACGGTATCAGTAGTTATAAATATTTTATGAACAGATATGAATAGAAGGGTTATTTTGATAATATCCTAAAAAGCAGCTCTCCACGCTTTTTTTACAATAAAATCATTCTTTCTTACACTATTTTTAACTTAAATTTATTAAAAGTTTCTATTTTTTATTTGGATTTTCTATAACAGCGTATTTTGTTGGTTTTCTTTGACCCCTTTAGAATGAGGCATTATATGACAGTTAATAAAATGATAGAAAACGCATTGAGTCACAAGAATTAATACCAACCTTTAGTGTTATTATTGAAGATACAAGAGTCATATATCTGCTTGGCGGTCACGGTTCCATTGCAGATCCCCTTATCGACTCCCCGATGTTTCCTTTCGATCTCGAGCAGTTTCTCGATCTCTTCGATCTCTATCTGCTTTATTGCGCCGTTCTGCTTCTCCTCCTCCTCTTCGCCGTCGTTGTGCTCGTCCACCGAGAACAGCTTCTCCACGACTATGAAGACCAGCATGCCGAACAGACACCACAGACCGCTCTTGAGAGAAACGTGCTGTCCCGCTGTAATGATTTCATTGTCCTTTCATTCATACAACATTACCATATTAAATAAAAGTATATATATTTTTATAATATACTAGCTGATCCGGCAGACTTCGTAGTGCCTCAATCGATAAATAAAAGACCTAAACTTTTGTATAAAATAAATTTAAAACAAACAAAAGGAATCCGTCCGACGGGGATACATCAAAGGAAAAGCAAAGGCTGAGATGATGATGATGATTAAAATGGCCCCCCACTTTGTTCACCTAGCTAGCTCTAGTCTATACTAATCTATACTAATATTATAAAGAGGAAAGATTTAATGGTTTGTTTGTATTGAATAGGCTCCGAAACTTTTGAACCGATTTGAAAAATTATTTCACTGTTTGGAAGCTACACTATTCCCGAGTGACATAGGCTATAATCTTTTTAAAAAAAATTAGGGCCTTTACTTAAGCTCCAATAATTGTAACCCAAGGTGTGAAAAATTACTTAAGATATTATTTACATCGCGTGCCCTGCGAAAACTATTGATGACAGAATAAAATAATGTACTACGACTTTGTAGAACACATTATTAATTACAAAAAGTGTCGCGACAGCATATTTCTAACTATCGTAGTTATGCCGCAATAAGTGTTCTATTATTTTAAAAAATAAAACAACGTCAAATATCGTTGAAATTTTCGTTAAAGACCCGAGCGGAGTCGGAGCGGGGCACTAGTACGATATAAAGCGTCTTATCACAAAATCAACCAAACGGTTAATACAGATTAGTGATATTAACGGCCGTCTGGTGTAGTGGTAAGTGACATGGTCACTACACAAGGGGGTCGCGGCTTCGAATCCCGCCAAGGGAAGGTATTTGTATGATAAATATAAATGTCTTTTCCAGGGTTATGGATGTATCTTAAATATATGTATGTGTATAATAAAAATATTACATTTATTTCCGTTATCTGGTACCTGTAACACAAGTTCTTTACGAACTTATCACGGGATCAGTTAACGTGGTGTGATTGTTAGTAAATATTTATTAATTTATTATTATAATTTTTTTGGTTAAGTTTTTGCTCGAGGAACTAAAAGGAATTATATGTCCGGATTCGAACCAGAAACCTCCCCGTGTTACGCCACTAAACCACCACGCCATAACGCTCAATTAAAAAATACATCCAAACAATTAACTGTTCTAAAATAATATTTTTATTGTTCCAACAAAAATTCATACGAAACGCTATTGTATGAACAATAATAATAATATAAACAACATACAAATTACAAATCAAGTTTTATTGAGGTTTCGTGTTGCAAAAGTTTACGAGCGACATTTCTAAAATAGTCTCTAACGCAAACGGTTAAGGTTGTCATTTATAATTACCCGGTTTGCACTCGAGCGTTTTGTGTTCCAAGCGATAATTTATGTAGTTAAACAAAATGTGATTCATAAAATTACGATCGCCATATAGGCATTGTTTGTATAGGATTCTATGCTTTGTCTCACGTCATTACGGATCCTCCCGATCCATTAACGGTGTTAACCACAAGCACCGGTCACCGTCCTCGACGAACCCGTCGCTTGCGACGAAGGGCTCGACGAGCGAATTAACCTATAGACACACAGCCCACTGAGTTTCTCGCCGGACCTTCTCAGTGGGTCGCGTTTCCGATCCGGTGGTAGATTCTGCGAAGCACTGCTCTTGCTAGGGCCAGTGTTAGCAACACTCCGGTTTGAGCCCCGTGAGCTCACCTACAAACGTTAGGGTGAAGCGGAAATAGCCTCTCAAGGCTATCAGCATAGGTAGGATAAAAAAAAGCTTTGTCGTCAAAGTATGAAAAAAAAATTTGAGTCACCAACACGTTTCACCGAACACGAAACATCTAGACGTGTAACCTTTGACGCCTTTGAGGCATGAGGTGGGAGTCTCAATAGAAATAGCGACTATAAATCGAACAACGCGCCGACTAATCACTCAAATTTATTTTGAAGATCTGTAATTACAGTGTCCATTAATTCATATAATTATAGCGTGTGCACGATGAATCTATATATACATATAAATAAAATTGGAGTCTCTGTTTGTATTATTGAACTGACCGCTTTGTACTACATGCATAAGAATATGTATACGGTACATAATAACAAAATAACATTTTTTACTATTTTTGTCTGTCTGTTTGTTCCGGCTAATCTCTGGAACAGCTTGACCGATTTTGCCGGGACTTTCACTGTTAGGTAGATGATGATATAAGGAGTAACTTAGGCTACTTTTTTAGACTAGCTTCGCCCCGCGGCGTCAGAACTAGTCGAATGCTAGCTCTGACGTCACGCGAGAAGAGAGTTAAATGTGTCACAAGTCAGCGCTTGGGCCAATCGTGCCTATCTATCGCTTGTTCCGCGCTCTCGCTTGCACGCTCACTCTCAGGCGGAACGTGACACTTTTTCTTACGTGCAGCCGGTGTTCATCGATTTTAAAACAAACAAAAAAACTGTTGGATTCGAACACTGACATAATTGCGTGGCTCTCGATAACCGACCGTCTTATCCATTAGGCCACGTTGACATATACAATTATTATCGTCGCATTATTTACATAGTGCACATAAGGAAGACTCATTGTCAGCGCGACACTCAAAAACGTACTTAACCTTGTCCGAAACAATAATATTCTTCTAGACCTTGTTACGCGACTGCATTATAATCAATTATCAAGTTTAATTTGTACCGGTAAACTTTAGTGACACCGAATTTCATATTTACACCGATATTCTAGACCAGCGGTCGGGGAACCGGGGTCATCATCATTATCCTGCCCTTCTCCCAGTCACCTGGGGTCGGCGCAGCATGTTTTCTCTTTCCATACTCTTCTATCATATACCATTTCTTCGCTCACTTCCCTTCCACCCATATCGTCTTTCACACAATCCATCCATTTCTTCTTAGGTCTACCTCTTCCTCTAAATCCTTCCACATTCATCGGGGAACCGGGGTAGATTACCCCAAATCGATGCCTCCAATGAACACTACGCTAATTCCGAAAATTCGTAGGTTTACAGGAGGAGTGTTTAAACGAAAAAAGTTGATAAAAATCTTTATTATTGCAGATATATTTATGGTTTTTTTTTGTGTAACTAGTTGATTTACTCTTGCTTCGAACGAACCCCATCAATATAATTTGTAATACTTTTAAAATGGTGAAGCGATTTGCGTGAAAAACGAAAATTTCAAAATTGGAAGCATCGATTTGGCGCCATCTTTGAAGTGACATCGTTTGCTAAAGTGGCGCCTCCCTGATTAGTTTTTTTCATTTTTTAATATTACCATTTCTTTTTTGTAGGCAAAGGTACCGTGTTAGAGCAGCGTTCATTGGAGGCATCGAAATGAGGTAAAAAAAGTGTGTGTGTCCGCTCCGACGCACGACTGGAGTTTACTGGATATAAAAAATTAAACGAAACAATACGAGAAATAGTTCTATATTACGACAACACGATACACTACAGATTATTAACAAATTAACGAGACACAAAACAAACGACTAACAAATATATGAAAATACAATAATGAGAGAAACGCGCGATCAGTACGAGGCTTTGTGGCGGACTGCCGGCGCAGCAGCCCGGCGTCACCTGCGATAACGCATTTCGTGTGACATGCGCAATCAGGCGCATAACGCATTTCGTGTGACATGCTAGTACGATTTTGGTCCCCATAATTTTCATACCCCGGGCCTATATATGTAAATCGATTCTAAAGGAGTAAACTCCAATAAAAATTTTGGGGGGGTTAAAATGAAACTTTTGTGATATAAAATATCATATGAATTATAAAATAACAAGAAATTATCATTTACTTATATTTTCTGTGGGGATGGGCGATTTTTTTTCCTCGACTGTATATTACATAATTACTATTATTATGTATTACTAGGTATTACATTAATAAATTGAATAAATGATGTTTAAATTCAATTTTTTGTTATTGTTTTCTTTTCAAAATTATCACGGGGGCTATAATATGAAAGATGCTAAAAAGAAGCGACTTGCTGAGATGAGTTTGATACGTCGTGGCCTAAAGGATAAGACGTTCGGTGCATTCGTGTTGAGCAATGCATCGGTGTTCGAATCTCGCAGGCGGCTACCAATTTTTCTAATGAAATACGTACTCAACAAATGTTCACGATTGACTTCCACGGTGAAGGAGTAACATCGTGTAATAAAAATCAAACCCGCAAAATTATAATGTGCATAATTACTGTGGTAGGACCACTTGTCAGTCCGCACGGGTAGGTACCACCACTCCGTCTATTTCTGCCGTGAAGCAGCAATGCCGTTTCGGTTTCAAGGTTGGGGCAGCCGTTGTAACTATACTGAGACCTTAGAACTTATATCTTTTTTTTTTTTATTTTTTTATTTATTGCATAGCTGTGTGGACGAGCTCACAGCCCACCTGATGTTAAGTGGTTACTGGAGCCCATAGACATCTACAACGTAAATGCGCCACACACCTTGAGATAGTTCTAAGGTCTCAGTATAGTCACAACGGCTGCCCCACCCTTCAAACCGAAACGCATTACTGTTTCACGGCAGAAATAGGCGGGGCGGTCGTACCTACCCGTGCGGACTCACAAGAGGTCCTGCCACCAGTAAAGGTATCTCAAGGTGGGTGGCGCATTTACGTTGTAGATGTCTATGGGCTCCAGTAACCACTTAGCACCAGGTGGGCTGTGAGCTCGTCTACTCATATAAGCAATAAAAAATAAAAGATGCGTAATTTAAAATGTTACAAATTCATTTTAATTTTAACGTGTCTATTCATTATTGTGGAAGTCGTCCGTGAACATTTGTATGTATCTAATATTAAGTATACATTTTATAGACCTACCTTTAGTGTTGGCCATATCATTTTCCCACGCTTCTGGTAGTAGGTGGAGGAAGACATCGCCCAGTAGACCGCCTACAGCGAAACTGAGCAGGATCCGAAGTGTGGCTGCCCCGGCTGTTAACAAAAAAACATTTTATTAATACGCTTTTATTTATTAGCTTCAGACGTATGTATGTTAGTATGCAACGGAATCTTTGAACATGATTTTGACCCCCTTCAAAACGTCTGATTAACTCAAAATTTGGCATGCTTATTAAGGACCGATGACAATTCAATATTAAAAAAAATATATATTGAAAAAATTTAAATTCAACTAAAAATGAACGCTTTTTTTACAATAAAATCATTTTTTCTTACACTATTTTTAATTCAAATTTATTAAAATTTATTCACTATTTTTTAGTTGGTGTTTCTATAAAAGCGCATTTTGTTAGTTTTTTTTTTAATATTATTTATTTATTACAATACTTCGGTAAGCGGGCTCACGAGCCACTTGTATGCTTAGTGCGATTTTTTTAACTTCTCGATCGCGTAAAAGTTAACTCAAATTTGTATGGACTTCGAACAGCGCCCCTAGCGGCAAACGTAGAGAAACATTCTAACACCATACAAATCAACGTTAACTTTTACGCTATCGAGAACGTTAAAAAACTCGCATTAAGCACACTGTTCTCAAATTGTTATCCCGTAGTTTAACAGATATCAAAACAAGAGTGCCCCCTGAATTTCTGAACAAAGAAATCCACAAGCATTCTTGATTACGAGATAACAAGTAGGTATGTACCTGCAGAATTTTCCTTAGCAATACAAAGCAGCGAATCTGCATTAGATGGATCGAACGAGAGATTAGGGATAATGATCTCGGTGACTGTTAGCGTTACACGTAGATACGAGAATACATGTACCCAGTATCACTTATCAGTCATCGTTGATAAAACAGCGGTCATGGATACTGTCGTATCGTGATGCGTGATTCAAAGGCACACAAATGACCCCAGTCATCACCGTTAAATGACCGTTCATAATTTTTTTTTTGCTTAGAGCTGAATCATCTGGCACTTTCATTTATTCCAGCAAGATTTTAATTTTAATTGCATCCAGCAAATTTTAATTGTCAATTATTCAATTCATTCATCTGGTAATATTAACTGGTGGTCAACTAAACAGCCCAAAAATGTGTGGGCCACAATGATACAGTCCTATATGGCCCTCGACCAGAAAAGTGTGAAGACCACTGCCTTAGACGGATGCGGGAGTTCATAGTCCAGACATCAACAATGTAAATGCCGCCACTTACCCTGAGATCTATCAGGTTTACAGTACAAAAACTGCCGTACCCTTCAGACCGAATCGCAGTCGGTAGAGATAGGCGGGTCGTTGGTACCTACCCTACTGAAAATGACTTTAGCGGAAGATATAATGTTACCTATGACTAATGTGACCATACGTCCCGATTTGGGCGGGACAGTCCCGCTTTCGGGCATTCTGTCCCGCTGTCCTCAGTGAGGCCGGCGTAGTTCCGCTTTTGCAAACAGACCAAACGATAAATTTATTTTTCAGTTCAACATAGAGCTAGAAGTGTTTAAATAGGGATAAGGGGATAGGGATTATATTATAATTCGCACCTTTAGAAATTAAAGTGGCTTAATAAAAAATTCTCGTTTTTTGTTAAACGTCAAAATTTTAATTGAAGAATTATATTTTTTGAGTTTCGATTTGAATACTTTAAGCCTCAAAGCGCACACCTTAAATTTTAAAGTAATCGCTTGATTTAAAAGAGACGGTAATTTAAACTTAATTTTGAATTTGAAAAACTTTCGAGTTCGTAAGCTGACAGAATACATTTTTATAAATCGTTCAAAGTATAAAAACTCATTTTCACTAACCAATTTTTAGTTAAGACACTTCAATTGTAAAGGTGGGAATATATACGCGAAATATCGCGCAGGGGATAAGCACAGCTTTCGAAAACACCTATGTCCAACAGTAGAATAAAATAGGGCTGTTAATTATCCTCACATTTATTATTTCCGACGTTTAAAGACACTATCGGTATAGTACATAGTATTATATGTATGTACATATACGTTATCGCCAATGAAATTGAGCTTAACCAATCACAAACATTGGAAAAACTGCGATCAAAACAATATTGACCTGTTAAGAAGATTACCTGGTTCTTACCGATCCTTCAATCGGTCGTTCGATTGTTTAGTGAAGAGTAGAAAATGGGTTTTCACTATCGTTCGTGTCCCACCTGCTTCGTACTTAGCAGAATTGACTAGTAAGATTCTTGATGCGATGAGCTCAATTCTAGGAACATCGCGGTTCAAAATCAAAAGATCCCCTCGTCTCTTTTTTATCATCGAACATCCCGCCATCGGAGCAGAGTTCATCCATATCATCTGGAACCGCTGTGTTTATCGACAGTGCGTTGCCAGAGGTCTTTTTTGCCACGTACCATCCGGCTATGGAATGAGCTCCCCTCCACGGTGTTTCCCGAGCGCTATGATATGTCCTTCTTTAAAAGAAGCTTGTGGAGAGTATTAAGCGGTAGGCTTGGCTCCGCGCCTGGCATTGCTGAAGTCCATGGGCGACGGTAACCACTCAACATCAGGTGGGCCGTATGCTCGTCTGTCTACAAGGGCAATTAAAAAAATAATCAAAAGAACAACGTAAACGAATTGCTTTCGCTCTTGTGTCTCGTTCGTTCGTATCTCTCTCGCGACCTAGCTCACCGAGTCATCGCCAAATAACAAACTAATCTACACTTAATATCTGCTAGCGACGGTAAACTGAGCAAATTTGAAGTCACCGGATGACAGATCGATACGTATTTCCCTTGTTACCTTTTAGAATTAGATCGATCATTTTCATTTTATTATCGAACGATAAGAAGCATCGCTAGGCTAAAATTATTTCGGTTATTGACATTATTAAAATGTGTTTTTGGAACGAAGTTTCTTATGGGACGATGCGGAGGGGTACCCTAACCGGGATAAAACGTCCGTAACGTAAGATTTTTATTAGTAATGCACAGTGTACGACTTAACTTTGTAATAACGTACAAAAAATAACATATTTTTTATCCTCCACTAGCCCTAGCAAGGACAGTGCATCGCTGAATTTACCACCGGATCGGAATCACGACACACTAAGAAGATTCGGCGAGAAACTCAGCGAGCTGTGTCTATGGGTTAGTTCGCTCGTCGAACTCTTCGTCGTAATCGACTATCTCGACTATCTCGACGAGGACGGCGGTAATTAAGTAACTTCCACTACCTCGATGATATGCTTATTTCGTGCCGTTGAAGTCAGTTCCATTTTGGAGTTTACTCCTTTATGGTAGCCATACACGTAACGATATACTTGTGCAAGTTTAGACTTGCACAGGTATAATGTCACTCCTAAGTGACCACAGACGGCTCAAGTATAATTGAACGATATCATTTCTATGAAAGTGAGCAGAGCATCCGGGTGTGTCGATGGATGAAGCTTTGGCAATAGTTTGCTTAATATTTACTACCAAAAAACTGAAAAGACTTAAAAGAAACCGAAATATATGGTGTAAAGACTGGTTAAAAAAAAGAGAGCATTATTCGCACATCAATTTATTAAATGAATAAAAATTTTCAAAGACAGACTTCATTTCTGTAAATTGTAATAAATTCCTCCAAATTGTCTCGAACTCCATGTCTCTCACTCGTCATTTTAGCGCGTTTAAAACTATCACAAGACGTGCGCACAAGCGGGCGGTTGCTATACTACTGTAACTTCGAACGCCGGCATGCCACACACGTTCAAGTAAACTTGCGCAAACAGAAATTTGCACAAGTTCGAAATCGAAAATTAAAACTTTTTTAAACTTGTACAAGTCTAGAAATTTGCGCAATAATTTTCCAACACACGTTACTGCATACTTGTACAAGTTTAAACTTGCACAAGTATATCGTTACGTGTATGGCTACCATTAGAATCGATTTACATATATAGGCCCGGGGTATGAAAATTATGGGGACCAAAATCGTACTAGCATGTCACACGAAATGCGTTATGCGCCTGCGCCGGCAGTCCGCCACAAAGCCTCGTACTGATCGCGCGTTTCTCTCATTATTGTATTTTCATATATTTGTTAGTCGTTTGTTTTGTGTCTCGTTAATTTGTTAATAATCTGTAGTGTGTCGTGTTGTCGTAATATAGAACTATTTCTCGTATTGTTTCGTTTAATTTTTTATATCCAGTAAACTCCAGTCGTGCGTCGGAGCGGACACACACACTTTTTTTTTTTGTTATATTACGTAAACATATTACGAGGTTTATACTACTGTATATAATTTTCAAAATATCACAAAGAATTATACGCAATGCATTTAATAGGTATAAATATATTTTTCTTAAATCGTTAATACGTTATCAATTGCCATAAATCTCATGATTGCTTTAATGTAACCAACGATACTTATCATATTACAACTACATATTCTGTTAACAAGTGCGATAATTACGTTATTAAACTGCCGTGATTCTCGATGATAACATTTATTGCTTTTATCAATCGAAGTGTACAATTAAATGTCAATATTACTAACAGTTTGATCCTATTTAGGGCGAACAATTAAAATTTGTTATTTTATGTATACCGCCTGATGGTTTTTTTTTTTTATTACCTAGATGGTTGGACGAGCTCACAGCCCATCTGGAGTTAAGTGGTTACCGGAGCCCATAGACATCTACAACGTAAATGCGCCACACACCTTGAGATATAAGTTCTAAGGTCTCAGTATAGTTACAACGGCTACCCCACCCTTCAAACCGAAACGCATTACTGCTTCACGGCAGAAATAGGCGGGGCGGTGGTACCTACCCGTGCGGACTCACAAGAGGTCGTACCACCAGTAATTACGCAAATTATAATTTTGCGGGTTTGATTTTTATTACACGATGTTATTCCTTAACCGTGGAAGTCAATCGTGAACAATTGTTAAGTATGTATTTCATTAGAAAAATTGGTACCCGCCTGGTACGAACATCGAACGAAATAAATAAGTAAGTACATATCAACAACGCTTCAAAATTGTTCACGCGGAGACACATCGAGCCGTACATCACACAAT